TATATATATATATATATATATATATATATATATATATATGAATGTATGGATTTTTTGCATTAGGTTTTATCCTGTATACAATTAAATACCTAAGTGAAAAACAAAGGGATTCAAGTCATCATTTGTTATGTCATATAGGATTATTTTGGTAGTTGGTATTGAGACATTAAATGATGTTTTCTTTCATTTACTAAGTTATGTAAACCTCACAGTAAAAATGTAGGCACTGAATATTTGTTCCATCAAAAACAGATTAGAATACAAAATCCCTTTATTGTCCCACAATGGTGAAAAAATTGTCACACAAATGTGGACCTTAGAAAAATGTATAAGAATAACATACTAGTGAAGAAGATAAACAATAAAATACTATACTGTAAAGTGTTTTAACAATATAAAACTGTGCACCTGGAGAATAAATAACCAATATACAGCTATGGACATTTTTACAGTAAGGGATATTTGAAAATACCTATAATATCAGAGATGTGCAAAATGACAGCAGCATGTTATTTAAATGACTAAGATAGAAACTTTGCAAAATCAGCATTAATAAACAACTCATTGAAGTCATTGGGAACAGTGGTGGTTGTAAAGTGAAACAAACCTAAGGTTTGTTTGTTACTATTGTGGAAACAGACCTAAATCAATTATAATCTAAACGATTACGCCTCTCAGAACAGATACATTATATGTTTTCATTAATAGCTTCCAGAGGAAGCTACCTTCTATTGTGGCATCTGGTTAATTCATGGTGGTGCTTTAACTTAGAAGCATGCTCGCAGATCTGCAGATGCAATCTTGTTTGTGTTAGTCCTTTTGTTAAATTTAAACAGTGTTTATATTAAACATGTATAGTTATTGTGTGCTGATGGGCTTTTACTGTTTCATACTAATCTTAGCTAATGCGTGATTTACATCAGTTTTATCTTAATATCAAGACTATCTACTTTATTTTTAGTTTAAAACACAGATTAAAATTAATCAGAAGTTGAATGGTCAGTGGACTTGTAGGAAACATACCGATAGCAGTTATTTGTAAAAGGGTTGTAGCTGGAAAGAGCCAGGAGAACCCCAAACCCAGGACCCAGAGAGAAGAAGATCTGAGCAGCAGCATCCACCCACACCTGGAAAACAGATGCAGACTTTTTGACCCTTTCTTGATTCTGTCATCTGGGATGCTGCAGTTTTTTCAAACATGGAAATTAATCTTAAACATTACTTCCCATTGGCGGTTTAGTGACTTAACTATTGTAAAGTCTCTGTTTCTCTAAACTGTGAACTTGGCTACTCAATGTAATTCTGTGTTTGTCAGAGGAAGGTCGAGCATCTGCACAGCTGTATGCAGGGAGATCTGAAGAGCATTCGGCGGTAAAAAGAGGAGAACAGCGTTGGATATCCGTGAGTGAGAGAGAAAGGGGGGAGCCTTTGTTAATGGGTAGAAAATCTAAACTAATTATGCATCTTATTATCCTGCTCTGTGGTTTATTTATGCATCTCATTTCATCTCATCCATATTCGCTTCCCAACAAAGCTCTTGCAAAGGTTCAGTGAAACACAGCATTGAGCCGGAGGGAGGAGAGGACTTTTCATAGATGGAAGAGATATATAGGCAGATTGTCAAGAGGCTGCTATCTATTGAAGAACTCTGTCGAAAAGATTTGTTAAAAAACCCTCTAGTTAACCTAAAAGTATTTACAATAAACATTTATTATTCTTCAGAAGAAAAATGAATCACTTTAACAAACATTCAATTTAGCTTCTTTTATAATTTTAATGAAACATGAAGCCAAAAATAGGCTACTAGAATAAATAAACAAAAAATCTCCTTCACGTTTGGCCTGCATATGGGATAATATCATATGGTACAAAACATGTAATGTTTTAAGCTGATAGAATGGGTTAGGAATCAGCCTATCATAATAGAAATGGAAAAAGTCTTCATGCTGTACTTATTTTTATTAAGACAGATAATGATTATCTGAATAACATACACTGGTCTCTAGCAGCTTGTCCCACTGTGGTTTCAGATAAAATACCACTCCTCTCCAGGCCCCTGGCAGAGTCGCACCACGAATCAGCAGGATAAAGAGCACAATGTACGGCAAGGTGGCGGTGACCCACACAACCTAATGGAGAGGAAACCAAGGGAAATAGGAACATTTATTTATCTTGGTAATTCAATTATAAAATGCTTTTTAAGATGAGTTACGCATGAATGCTTAAAGCTAAGGAAAAGAGAAAATTAGAAAATGAACAATAGAAAAGGATGATGTACAGTATGTGCACTTGATATTTAATGAACTACGCCATTGCTGCATCTTTGCTGGAAGTCTTTCTGGGGATTCGGTCAGTTTGCTGAGAAATCAAGCAGCCACTTTGACATTGAGTTGTTGTGTTTAATCACTGTTGTAGTTTGTTTTGATTTTGGAACTAGAGTTGAAATACCAATGTTAAAATGTATATTCAAAGAGGATTAGACATATAATTCAGAAATAGTTGATATTTCAATGCTGAAAGCATTGTGAGATAACAACATTTCAACAGTTTAGTGTACAACATTCCGTAAAAATTCAAAAAATATCCACTGGACTTGGTTTTCAAGATTTGAAGACGTTTCGCCACCTCTCCAGGAAGCTTTCTCAATTCAAATGTCTGGATCCGCAGTGAGTTTGAGTCTTATATAGACAGTGTACTCAGTGTACAACATTGTTTTAATGCTGAATTAATGTTTTAAACTGAAATTATTTCACCACCATTTACAACCTTTACCGTCAATTGAATGCCAGCTCTCTTAACTGAGCCAGCCTGGTACTTTTAGCAGTGTGGTGAAGGTGCCAAGTCCAAAATATGATATAAGCATCTTCAATAGGTTTGGCATCAGAAGGATGCATCAAGTGATCACGAATTTCCAGATAAAAGGAAATTCCTGATTGACTTTGGACCTGAAAAAACGAAACAGCAGCAAATGACATGGAAACCCAAATCAACACTAACAAAGAGAATTTTAGACCACCCAGTAATACTAAAGTAATTTTTTTCTTTAGTCCAGATATGACACTTTTAATGTGTCTGGTTTAGGGGTGGTTTTACACAAGGACTGTGACGGTTATAGTTAATGTCCTAGATATTTCTAGATGTGGTGAAAGTTAAATATCTGAGTTCTGTTCATTTTCTCCTGCAAATGTATTTTCCCTCCACAAAACTTTCCATCTGTGCCTGAATACTACCTGGATTGTTAGTAGCAACGTTTCTGTGATGATTATCTTTGACATAGATACAATTAAACCCTAATCATAATGTTGAGTGGAAATAAATGCTTAAAATCCATCTATGTGAGGTGTGAAGTAAACTTTTTTTTTACTGAGGTGCATCTGAAGATAAAAAACGATGTCCTACCTTCCCTGAGGTTCTCACACCCTTCCAGAGGCTGAAGTAGACTATAGTGAAAATAAGAAAGAGGCAGAGCATCAGCTGCCAGCGAACGCCCCCGATGTCTCTCAGCCCTGAAGATTTGTGGATCTCAAGAACGTTTCTCCTGTTCAAAGAAAATCCTTGTATCATCAAGTTGTCAGCAAACAAGGCAAGAGGGGTTTGGGGATAAAAATAACCAACTTGGCAACATTTCTGAGGGGTATTACAGTAAAAGCTATTTATACATGCATATGTGGTTTCTTTTACTCACACTTACATGCACTTACGTGTAAAATTCCTCTGCCGGAGACCTGGAGGAATTTGTCCAAGTCACGTTATCCATGCCAAAGTAGTTGGTGCAGTTGGGGGTGTTCCAGACATTATTGCAGTTTGTCCATGGGAGGATGCTGGAGAAGGAGGAGTAGAAGTAGAAGAGGGCCCAGGCGATGATGGTGTTGTAGTAGAAGGACACATACAGAGCGATGACACATATGGCATATCCTATTCCTGAAAGAGGAAGTCACACCTTACATAATATCCCCACTTATAGCTTAGTTTTGTAAACCATATGCTGTGAATAATTATGAAAAGGGTTCATTAAAAGGGGCTGTGTTAAACCAGTTCATTGTTTACCATTACCTTTAAAAATGGGACAGATGTGTTTCCATATGGATATGGCTCCAGTTCTGTGAAACTGCCCCAGTGCCAGCTCCATGTAAAACAGCGGCACGCCACCAAAGATAGCCATCAAAATGTAGGGGATTAGGAAAGCACCTGAACACATAGAAAAGAAAGAAAGAAAGAAAGAAAGAAAGAAAGAAAGAAAGAAAGAAAGAAAGAAAGAAAGAAAGAAAGAAAGAAAGAA